ACTCATTGAAAGGTGCTGGATTTGTATACATGTCAACATCCAGCTCGAGAATCCAAATAAAACTCCAGATTAATTCCATTTCCGAAAAAAATAAAGTTTATTGAATACACTGTGTGGTTATGTCGAAGTAAAACTTACTCTGAGGTTCTCACAACAGTTCATAGATTTACAATAGTTTTCCCAGCCAAACCCCCATCGTCTTACGTAATCCATATCAAGTCCACTTTGTTATGGGAACCCTCTGCTTCAAATCCACACCTGTTCTGGTGTCCTTGATAAGGTTTCAGGCTCCCATGATCTGCAGCTGAATCAAAGAAGCTTCATTTTTCCATCTACCCACTTGAAAATAACACCTCCCACCCCCTTTATCTAAAGGCAAGTTGCAATGCAGAGGCATGTAGCTGCCAAAGTTTCATATTTGACAATACAGTTCAAAGGTTTTCTTTTATGACCAGGATGGGGTAGAGTGTATCAAAATCTGTAAGGCTGCAGGCATGGCATTCCCTTTGAATCTCTCTGCCTTTTGTGTCTAAGTGTACATCCTCTTGTATAGGAGGAACAGCACTCTGGCTGTAATGCTGCACCTGCCGTCTTGCAGATTTTGATTTCCCTTTGCAAACCTTTTTGAATTGTGTAGCTATAGCGATTGCCTTGTAATTAAACACAAATATAGGGATTGTACAGTAAGTTCTCGACTTATAATGGTTCGCTTAGTGACCATTCAGAGTTACAACAGAACTGAAAAAAGTGACTTATGACCGCTTTTCACAGTCACAGCCTTTGCAGCATCCCCACAATCACGTGATCAAAATTCAGATTCATATTTATGATGGTTGCAGAGTCCCAAGATCCCCTTTTGCAACCTTCTGACAAGCAAAGTCTATGGGGAAGCCAGATTCACTTAATAACCAGGTTACTAACTTAACTGCAGTGATTCACTGAACAACTGAGACAAGAAAGGTTGTAAAATGGAGCAAAACTCTCTGAAATGTCTCACTTAACAACATAAATTTTGGGCTTAATTGTGGTCGTAAGTCGAGGACTACCTGTAGTTAAATGTTTTGTCATTCAGGAAAGCAGGTCTTCAAAACAATGAGCGGCACAAAGATGTATTTTTGCTTGCGGGATCCGTTGCTATCATTAGAACTTTTACCCTGCCAAGAATATTTTGCAGTATATAAGGGGGGAAAAATAGGTGCAAAAATTGGACTATCCTTGATTATGTTGTGCCCTTCATCCAGGCAACAGAGGGATGAGGGTTCTTAATGCCATACAAGTCAGGATGTGCTTCGCCTCAATTTTGGCTTCATAGTGGAGAGAGATTCTGTGCTTTAGAGTGATATCTGAACCAGGAGAAACAAGAGTGGGCTGTGAAGATTCCAGAATGAAAGTCCTCTCTGTGTTCCACTGAGCAACCATTGACCATAGGAGGAAGGGCTCCCTGATAATGTGCTAGGACTTTTGAAAAGCAACAGGTTATAAGGATAAGAACTCACTGAGATGAATGATCTGGGGTAGATTTGCTCTGCATCACCCTTTGGCTGGATTCATGCAGCAGATAGCCTATTTAAGCATGGTTTATAGCAGTGGTTCTCAACCTTTTTAATGCCGCGACCCCAACCGGTTGTAAGTCGAGGACTAAACCAGTCGTAAGTCGAGGACTAAACCGGTCGTAAGTCGAGGACTAAACCGATTGTAAGTCGAGGACTACCGAACTGGTCGTAAGTCGAGGATTTTCCCTGCCCGGGAGCGCCGCGCATGCATGATTCTGCCCCCTGCGCTGGCCGAGGTGTAGCTGGCAAGCGGCAGAGACGGAGCAGGCCGACCACCAGCTGGCCCAGCCCAAGGGAGGTAAGGCACCCACCGGAAAAGGGGGAAAAAATGGCGGACAAAAAAAATGGCGGACAAAAAAAATGGTGGACAGCCTTGCTTGGCGACCCCCATGAAATGGTTGATCGACCCCAAATGGGGTCCCGACCCACAGGTTGAGAACCACTGGTTTATAGAGTTATGCCTATGTTCCTACAAATTTGTTAAGCCCAAACTAAAGAACCACACGGAGAGCTTATGCACTGGAGACAAATTCCTTGTGTATCCAATGACACTTGGCCAATAAAGCTATTCCATTCCATTCCATTCCATTCTCTATTCCATAATCTCCTCCTCTCCTCTCCTCTCCTCTCCTCTCCATTCCATTCCCTATTCCATTCTCTATTCCATAATCTTCTCTCCTCCATTCCATTCCATTCCCTATTCCATTCTCTATTCCATAATCTTCTCTCCTCCATTCCATTCCCTATTCCATTCTCTATTCCATAATCTCCTCCATTCCATTCCATTCCATTCCATTCTGTATTCCATAATCTCCTCCTCTCCTCTATTCCATTCCATTCCATTCTCTATTCCATTCTCTATTCCAGTGTTTCTCAACCTTGACAATTTTAAGGCATGTGGACTTCAACTTCCAGAATTCCACAGCCAGCAATGCTGGCCTTGGAATTCTGGGAGTTGAAGTCCACATGCCTTAAAATGGTCAAGGTTGAGAAACACTGCTGAGTCTATTCCATAATCTCCTCTCCTCCCCTCCCCTCCCCTCCCCTCCCTTCCCTTCCCTTCCCTTCCATTCTATTCCATTCCATTCCATTCCATTCTCTAAAGAAAGTACACAGTGCTTGATGTCCATGACTGGCAGGGGAGTTCTTGGAGTTGAAGTCCACAAGTCTTAAAGTTGCTAAGGTTAGACAGCCCTGCTTTAGGCCAATTAAACCCAGATTCCTATCCAACCTTCATCTCTCACTGGACTTCAATCCCCATCTGGCTTATCAAGCATTGATCTGACAACCCTGTTGCAGAGTTTAAACCCCCAGGGTCCTGCTCTGTAGGGCATTAAGTGCATCTTTGTGTAATTAGCCCGATGATTTGCATTGACTGGAAGTGACTGCTAAATGTCAAATTTTGCAGCAGGAAGGAAGTGCTCTTTACGTGTGTTGGGTGGGTTAACCCTTTCTTCCCCGTGCTTGGTTCTAAGATCCCTCCTTTGAAGCTGCTATTAGTGGGAGTGGAAATGTCCACTGAGGCAATGTGAATTTTTTACCATGCAAATAGCAGTTTCGGTAAAGACCTTTTGAAGGTTTTATGCTCTCTCTCCCACATTGGTTGCGATTCCATTCTTAGCCCGGTCTGTCTGGGCTGCTAATGCTTGCGTTTTTCAAACCACCTGTAAAACGCAAATGTGCATTTACCCATTACATCTTGCTTTGCGTTTTTCAGGCTGCTTTAAAAGGGTGCCTGGTAGCTTGAGTGTGCAAAGGCAGTGGAAAGTAACCACGGAGGATGATTAATTATGACAGACAGAGAAAAAAAAAGTAGGTCTGTGAAAAAGGATTGTTTAAATAATAAATGGCAGGGCTGAGCATTTTTTTTTTATTTCTTTCTCTGCCTTCGCAAACAGGATTGTTAATGTTTTTTTTTTCCCCTGGAACATCATGGAAAAATAGGAACATTTTAGATGGTTTGGTGGTATTCATAGAGGTTTCCCTTCAGTGGGTGTATGCACGAGACAGTAACTTGTAGTATTTTTATATCCAGGTAGTCCTCGAATTGCAACTATTCGTTCAGCAACTGAAGTTATAATGATACTGAAAAAAACTGACTTATTGCCAGTTGTCACACTTATGACCATCACAAGCATCCATACGATCACGTGATCAGAATTGGGGTGCTTGGCAACTGGCATGTACTTATGATGGTTGCAGCAGTGTCCGGGGGTCATTTGATCACCCTTTTTTGTTCTTTCCAGATGGCTTCTGAGAAGCAAAATTAATAAGGAAGCCAGATTCGCTTAATGTCTGTCAGAATTCACCCAACAACTGCGGTGGTTTGTTTAACAACTATGACAAAAAAAGGTCACAAAATTGGACACGACTTGCTTAACAATGGCTTTGCTTAGCGTTAGGAATTCTGCTCTCAACTGCTCACAGAGGGCTACCTCTGTGTACAAAATAAACAAAAGTAGCTCCTTGTTCTAGTGTCCCAAAAGTGCTTTTTCACGAGGCAAATGGACTTTCTTGTTTTTCTTTGAAGACGTTTTGCTTCTCATCCAAGAAGCTTCTTCAACTCTGACTGGAATGGTGGGGAATGGAAGGATTTATACTCCTTGCAGACAGCTGGCCATTTGCATTCTTTTAGAGAATCACTGAGGTCACCTGGAGGTTTATCTGTGTCCTCAGGGTCACCTGAGTGGTGCAAATAGGTGTGGAGGCTTTTTGGAACTGCTGAAAGGACTGTGTTGTAGACTGGAGATAGATGATGCCATATCTCTTCCCCTCTGTTGAGAGAGGGCTGTTCAGTTTTGACATAGATGGTCTCTTTGACCCCTCTTTCAACCCAGTGGTCCACTCTGTCCAGAATGTGGACCTTGGTGTCTTTGAAAGAGGGGGCTTTGTCTCTTGTTGTAATGGCTGCAGAAGAGGCGGTAGATGAAAAACAGTTCTATGTGAATCAATTCAGATAAATAAATAGGAGTGTGATTCCCATGATCAGATGATTGCTATTTGTGATTTGTCCCTGCCGGCTTCTGACAAAGCCAATGGGGAAGCGGCAGGGAACGTTGCAAGTCATGGTCATGTGATGTCTCGCTTAACGTCCACCACCAATTTGCTTAATGACTGAGGCAAAAAACATCATGCGAAGGGGTGTGGTCACATGATGCTTCACTTATCAATCACAACCCTTGACAGATTTTCTAGTCCCTATTGTGGTTGTACATCCGGGGTCTTCAAACTTGGCCCTTTTATGACTTGTGGACTTCAACTCCCAGAATTCCTCAGCCAGGCACTCTGGCTGAGGAATTCTGGGAGTTGAAGTCCGCAAGTCATAAAAGGGCCAAGTTTGAAGACCCCGGATGTACATCAAGGGCTACCTGTATGGTTGTGCGCACGAATAGTAACATAATTACTGTGTCCATTAATCATGTGTGTTTTCTTTAAATCTTTTTTTAGCTTTTCTGGGAGAAGAGGCTTCAAGGCTTAAGTGCCTCAGATGTCAGTGAGCAAATCATAAAATCCATGGAGCTTCCCAAAGGCCTTCAAGGTAACTTTGAGGTTTTAATGGAGCCCTCTGAATGGATGGATTTAGGGGTAATCCATGAACCAAAGTGCAGGAAGTCTGTTCCCACATCCTGGATGGGGAATGATGGGAGTTGAAGTCCACACATCTTAAAAGTTGCCAGGTTTGAAAAACACTGTGCTAACAGACTACAGGTAGTCCTCAATTTATGACAGTTCATTTAGTGACCGTTTGAAGTTACAATGGCACTAAAAAGGGTGACTTACGACCATTTTCCACACTTACGACCATTGCAGCATCCCCGTGGTCACATGATCAAAATCCAGAAGCTTGGCAACGGATTCATATTTATGACAGTTGTGGTGTTCCAGGGTCACGTGATCCCCTTTTGCGACTTTCTGGCAAGCAAAGTCAACGGGGAAGCCAGATTCACTTATCAACCCTGTTACTAACTTAACACTTGCAGTGATTCACTTAACAACTGTGACAAGAAAGGTCGTAAAATGTGGCAAAACTCACTTAGCAACAGGCATTTTGGGCGTCATTGTGCTTGTAAATCTAGGATTTGCTAAGCTTTGTCTTTGGGACAGAGATCTTATTTGGCATTTTTGATAGCAAATCCATCCCTCTGAATATGCTGAGTTTTAATGAGCCAACTTTGCATTCCCTCTCTAGGAGTGGGCCCAGGGAACAACGATGACACCCTCTTGTCGGCTGTGGCCAGCGCATTGCACACAAGTTCTGCTCCCATCACAGGACAACTGTCTGCTGCCGTGGAAAAAAACCCCGCTGTGTGGTTAAACACATCCCAGCCTCTCTGCAAAGCCTTCATCGTTACGGATGAAGATATTAGGTGAGTTCTTCACAGACTGGGTTCCTGCAACCTGCTGGGCTGTTTGGAGACCTGCAGAGTCAACCTTGGCAACTTTTAAAACTTGCGGACTTCATAATCCAAGTTTCATCCCAGTTAGCCCATTTCTCGAGTTCTTTCTAATCTGTGTTCCTCCAGATGTCTTCACCAAAAATCTTGGGAATTGCATCACAATATGTCTGGATGGTGCCTTTGTAGTGTCGGAGAAAAGTGCTCTCTGTTTTCTCTGGGTATCTATTTTTAACAAAAGAAGAAAGCCCTTCCTTCCTTCCTTCCTTCCTTCCTTCCTTCCTTCCTTCCTCCCTTCCTCCTTCTGTCCTTCCTCCCTCCTTCCTTCCCTCCCTCCCTCCCTCCCTTCCTTCCTTCCTTCCCTCCCTCCCTCCCTCCCTCCCAGCTTTTGCTGATACAACATTCACTTGTATGGCTCATAAACAAAGAAGTAAATCAACTGAGCATGCTGTAGGAGTTATGAGAGGGCATATTCCCAATCTTGCACCACTAAGTCCAACTTGATTATGCTTGCATTTTTCTTTTTAAATGCTCCATTTACCTCAGCTTTTAAGATTCAGATCATCTTTTATTACCGCTATACGTGATTGATTTCCTGCTGATCTCGTAGTAATTGCTGCAAGAAATGTGCTCATGATTTGGTTAGGTTCTATAGCTCCGTTTTTCTCTATTTTCAAAATACCGATACGCAGGCTTTGGATAGTTATTAATCCCAGTGTTGAAATTACTCTTAAGTGCACGTTTAAATACTAGCCTTTGAGTTTCCAAATTATGAGATGCTGGGTTTAGGTAAACAACCACAGTGCTTATTAGGAAAAAAAACCTGAGCAATAAAACACCACCCCTCCCCAAAATGTTTGATATTTTGAGTTTAATACATAGCAGAGAAAGAAAAGGATAGAAATTTTCACTCAGACGTTTTATCAAAATTAATTACAATCTGATATGGAGAGAGACAGCTTCTGGTAAACATTATTTTGGAAGTAAATAGACAGCCTTATTCACCCTCAAAATTGACCCAATCAGAACTGTGGTTTGCAGGTCTTATGGAAACAGAACCTAGCCAGACACGTGAATCCTCAGAGAGAACTAAAGGTATGCCAGGGGCTTGAATTTGCTAGCAATTCCATATATATTTTTTCTTGCGTCGCTTTATTTCTGTTGTTAGAGTTGGAGATTATCAACATTTGAAGGGGATCAAGCACATGATAACTGTTTTCAAGTCCTTGAGGGGCTGCCACAGAGAAGAGGGCATTGACTTATTCTCCAAAGCATCAGAGGGCAGGACAAAAAGTAATGGGTGGAAGCTTGTTACGGAGAGATCCAACCTAGAAGTAAGGAGAAATTTTCGGACAATGAGAACAATTAATGGAACAGGTTGCCTCCCGGAGTTGTGGATGCTCCATCACTGGTGGTTTTCAAGAAGAGACTGGACAACCATTTGATTGGGGTGGTATAAGGTCTTCTGCCTTGAGCAGGGGTTGGACTAGAAGACCTCTAAGGTCCCTTCCAGCCCTATCGTTCTATCTTCTACGGAGAGACACTGTCAAAAGAATGGAACAACTGGGAACAATTAGCACTTCTCTTAGTTTGTTAGTAGGTTTTCTGGCTTCACAATTTTTTTTAGTTTTTAATGTGTTCCTCCTCTGCTTTTCAGCCAAAACTGATGCTCTGTGGTAGTTGATGATTCAAATCCACACTAAGTTGTGCTATCATTAAGTGTTAAGCTGCTGAGACATTCCAGATTTGGTCTTCTTCTTATCTTTGTACTTGTGATATCAAGTTGTAGGAGAGAAACACCAGGTTTCGTTTCTGTATTGGAGGTGGTAGTTTCAGTTTTTCAGACCACTGTGGAATAATCATAGTGATAGTATAATAATCATAGTGATAGTACAATAATGATAATAAGCCTTTCAGACCTTAAAATACACTTTTGGTGATTTTTCCCCCCCTGGAAAAAATGATCAGAAGCCCTGCATTGCATCACAACTGCAATGTGAAGTTACACAACTGACACTGGAATTAGTAGTCCCGGGTTGCTATTTTTCCAAAGCTGGTAACAACTGGCTGATTTATTTTTGCAAATTAAAGTTGGGTGGGTCAAATCAGAGGTATGGACTTCAACTCCCAGAATTCCCCAGCCAGCATTGGAACCCCACTGGGTTAAATGAATCTCAGTAAGATAGCTACAAAAAACTTGTTAAATATTGAGCAGTTTTGGAAATAGGGGAGATAGTGGTTGAGCCCTTGTCATGGTCAGACCATTCTCTCCTAAGGTTGGTCTTCCGGACCGCTCCCCCTCGCCGCAGGGAGACGGAACCCCCTAGATGGTTCCGTCCCAGGCGACTGATGGACCCTGAGAGGTTCCTGATGGAGCTTGGGCCATATCCGGAGGATCTAGTCCACGACTCGGCGGAAAA